ACTTCCATACGGGCCAGCCTAGTCCTCCTGCTCGAGCTCAACCATACCTTGTCACTCATGCCGTGGTCAGCTGTAACACCGATAACTACACCCCGTTCATGTAGGGCCCCTAGACGCTCATCGAGGGCTTTATAAAACATCATTGCCTCGTAGTCGAATGGTGCATACTTATGTTGAATCTATGTCGATAAAATATCCGTCCTGCTAGCCTGAGAGTAACTCACGAAATCTGTCGTTGAGAAGTACGCAAGGACTCGCTTCTCTGGCTGTGTATATGCCAAGAAGTCCAGGAGGCCGATACCAAGGTCGAGCATGAACAGAGACGATTCTGCAGAGTAAACGCTCGGAACTTCTCGCCATTCATTGGACAGATCACTGAATGATGCGATCTTCCCATTGGTGAACCTAACAAGGAGTTGTTGAATCCATCTTGGTGACAGCAGATCCCTAGGTTTCCCAGGTGTCGGAGTATACGTGCGTTTTCCTCAGCCGGGCTCAGGAGTTTCCTCACTAATTACCAAAGTTTACAAACGAATCAAGGTAAAAGTGAACATGATCTGTTGGGATTTTTATATTGTCACCAACACATGTAGTCGACCATATGCATATTTTTCTCTACACTGGCAGGGACAATGTAATGGTAGTGCGAGTATCAGTGGTAATGCTAACTCTTATGACGGGTTGGCACAATTCATACCCACCGCCGATACTCCTGGAAGGAGTCTCCTATACTGGCTCTCTTTTGCCTCTTAGAAGGCGGGCTGGAATATATGTTCGGTTTCCTCAGCTGAGCTCAGCAGTTTCCTCACTACTTGATGGGAATCCACACACAACGTAGGGTAGAAGTGTACAAGAGCCAACAACAATTATCTAATTCCCTCTCAATAACGTTGTCATCAACACATGTTGTTGGCCTTGCTCCCAAAAACAGGGGTTATGATAGTAGTGATATCAATCAGATACGAAAACAAGATGCGGCTCCTCCAGCTCACCTTGCCAGGGCTGTAGAGGAATCTTCTCCCCCTGCTTCCTCTGTCGACATTCCGACCCATCGTCCCTCAGTGTTCGACGGCAGACCCGCGGTAAGCATACTCAACAACTAGAAGATCACTCGTGGTTATCACCGGGGTGTCTCCGTGAATACCTTATGCTTCACCGTTAAGATCACCACGACAGTGTCCGGCACTTTGAGAAATTCTGGGAATATTGTCGGGCAACGTAGCAGTTCAGGACCAGTCATCATGACCTGTGTATTCAGAGACGAACCTCTCTCGTACTGTGTTGGAATATGTGTTCGCTTTCCTCAGTTGAGCTTAGAACATTCCTCAAGTACCATTAGAATTTGGACAGAAGTGTACAGGAACTAATAAGAATTTCCCAAAATTTTCATTCTCAGAATTTTCAATTTGTAACCATATCACATAGACCTACTTCTTTCTGAGTATTGACATCAAAGTAATAGTTGCCAGATATACCGTGAATGGCAGGAGGGACACCGGTCACAATCGACATATTGTTCGGATTAGTCAGAGTCGGCATAGCACTTCGAACGATCTTCATATGGCCCTTCGACCTGCCATGATTTAACACCTATTGGATGCGGTGACAATAGAGCTACTCAGCTAGGATCTTTCGATTAAGGTTGGGCATGTGAAACTTGGCAGCTTTGAGATATTCCGGACAACATCCATCAACACAAATGCCAACAACATGCTGGCCATGCTCTGGAATACAGTAACGATGCCCATTGACCTGATATCGAAATTGAAGTCCATGGCTATCCAAATAGCAATCGAAAACCACTCGGATTCCGAAGAGACTAGCATTCTATTCGAGGAGAAAAGAAGAGTTGCATGTCGGTCACCTGGAAGGCCTGTGTGGCGAATCCTCGCATCAAAATTCGCCTGTGCATAAGAAGCGATGACGGCTTGAAAGGGAGTCCAATAGGCATTGATATGGGCCAACTGTGATATTGATAATTATAGGACTGGCTATCGCTTGCTCATTCGGGAGTTCAAGTACTGAGTGAAATTGTTGAACAGTCATACCACGCCTGATGCAATTCGTATGTGATATCTCGCCATCGCCATATCGAGCAACATGGTTCCTGTATGACTACGATGAGAGAGAACTATGTCTCTCCGCCGTGAGACCGCAATAAAAGGCCATCAAAAGCCAGCAGTGTGTCGCGTTGACGGACGGAATAGGCAGGGAAGTCGCCTCCACGCCGATCTTCTCTCCTGAACGACACTGCAGAAATACGCACGAATGAAGCCATTCTGACTTCAGATCGACAACGTCGATGTCCTCTTGGATTGGCACCGAGAAGTTCCGACCTTCCTTGATCCAAACTGAATTTACCATCATCACCATTGTGGAGGCATTCCACAAGCCGGTTTAGCTTAGTGGTAGAGCGTCAGTCTTGTAAACTGAAGGTCGGCGGTTCAATCCCGCCATCCGGCTTTTAAGGATGATTCCAAAATTTGGTATTATTTCTAATTTCAGCTCATTTTGGGATCGACCTAAAGTTCACCTTAGCCATAACAGTAAAATTTTGTACATTTCTCTATTTATGGAGACCATTCCTTTTGCTTATACCACGACAGGGATTCCGGCCAGCACTTCACCTATTGCCCACCCAATTGACCTCAATGACTAAGAGAACTGCTGCCATGAATACGTAACGGAGACACTTTGCATTCCGAATGAGGGAACGAATGCCCAAAGGCCGACCATTCCCGCGTTCATGGAATACACAACAACACAGCTTTCATTCAGCAGCGCTGAGGTTGACTGTGAGTTGAACAACTACACCCATAACCTGTGTATTGCCGGATGGACTGCCATCACTTCCGCATAATAAAGTTGCACCTAGTACTGCCGAGTAGTAGAGGCCTGGCCACCACCTACATTACAATCACCAACCGCTGCCCATTATGGCAACCCAGTGGCCGAGCCATCCCTCGCATTATCTTGGTTCCATAGCCATCGATACACCTGCCCGTCCACACCGTCCGCCACCGCAGCGACCATACGGCCATCAGCGTTCACTTCGAGGTCAAGGTCCTCCTGCTCGTTGTCTTCAGATGACGATTATGAAGGCGTCGCCCTCTGAGCTGCCGGATGCACACTTGACAAGCACCTTCGATAGGACGCGAGACGTCCGCATATAGAAAGCAGACAGGGTCTCGTCTACTGGCCTAGACACTAAGTTCGCCAACAGAATGATTCACCACAGAATGCGAGCAGAGACCCACAGTGTTGTCATCATCAGCGATGCCACTCGTGGGAATCTGCCCTTGAAGCAGCACCGCCTCGATCCTTGAGGGACGCCAGGGCGCTGGTGACCTTACTCATCTGCGGACCAACCGCGTCTGAACATGGACATATATGCCTATGACTGTGGAAGGTCATGGGACTACCCCGGCCCAATTGGAGTTGCATGACATTCCTCTCCAAGCGTTCAGCCACAGGACCTGCTGGCTCTGGGAGTTGGGCCAGAAGGGCACCACCTGATGCAGACTACTATTGACCAGAGCACTGAGGACTCGGCATACCACCACTACGAGGGTTCCCAGTCACGGTCTCTGCGGTAGAGTCCTTGGCCAACATACTAAGTGGCCGATAGACAATTCCACTACCATCAATCCCGGCTAATGCACCTGAGCTCATCATAATCAATTCTCTTTGGAATAGTCGGAGCATTCGGATCACGTGAAGATTGGTCCATCTTACTACTACCTTGGCCGTTCATAGGCATCAGGAGGCGTTCAGTAGCCTCGGCCTGGGTCCTCGGATCCTCTGGAGTAGGCTGCTGAGTCGGCTCTCTGAGTAAGGCGAGGTCAGGTGCAGCAGCAGCAGCAGCAGTCGGTAGTATTGATCCAAGGACCGACGTTGGAGCTGCTGCCAACATCATCACTCAATCAAATACTACTAAAGACCCCATCCTATTCCGGCCGTCCCCGATCACATGTATACTACCAACACAACACGGAAACTCTTCGACAGCAGCGAAAGGCCAATGTGAGCATTCCTGTGGGCTGGGTATAAACTTAGTCCTCCCGTTCAAGAGGTCAGGATACCGAATATCTAACCATCATGATCTGTCTTATTCGACGGACTAAATCTAGTAGTGGGTGGTTTCAGACTTCTTCGTCGGCTGCAATAGCAGGCTTCAGAATAGCTACCTCAAGGATCTGTTGAGATGATGCGAGTTTCTGATGCCTATAGCTCATATCGTATAAGTTGACATCCTCTAAAGGGAGGGGTTATCCAGGCAACTGGATTGCATACCCTTACACGGATTGTTGATCGAGATGGCGAGTATTCCCCTCACAGAGGCTCCTCTTGATGTTCACGTAGGCACCTTAGTCCATACACTTGCCCAATGTAGCTCACATCGGTCCGGAATTCTCAACCTTCCTTTTGCTTGGAGTGAAAGCAGTAAAAGAGTCGGTGAAAGGCACCGAGACCGTAATGTATCACATTCCCCATCAGCTATAAGGAAATGGCAGCGAAGCGAATGATGCGAACTTCGCATCATACTTGGTATTTATACGTTAGGATGGCTAACGTAACGCTATTTTCGTGGAAGGAGTAGAAGAACCCGTCCTCGAGCTTATTTACTCGGCGGAGACTCATTCTATGGCACTAATGAGCTCCACACGACCAAGGTGATAGAATAATTAAGAACGTCGCACATAACAGGTGTCATCTGCCCACCCGAGTCGTGTTGGAGAATCTCCAACACCACTGGGATGGGATTACTCTCATACGCTTACATCTCCAATAGCTATAACGAATCGTTCCAACAGAACTGGACAAAGGACCATCTGATCACATAGACCCGAACTTCCTAGCTCTGCGAGTTGCCGATCGTGACCCCTGACGATTTACCATATCCATATTATAAGACCTACTAGGAGGACTGTCGTCAATAGCGGCTCGCTATTCCCCAGTCGACGACCTTTTCGGATGGCCGCTATTAAAAAGCCTGGTAGTCTCACTCAATGAGTCTGTGACATATGTCGTTGTATGCGTCAGAGGCATGACTTCCACTGACGTCTTGAAAAAGAGAACCAAGTCGCAATGCAAATCCCTACGATCCATGATCAGGATCTAAACTATCGGAACTTTCTCTAGGCATGTGAGTATTGTGCGCAAAATCGCGAGACAGCGCATATGCGAAGCTGACTAGTAGATCTCGTGTGACACAGCATGACATTAACGGTTTTACTTTTCCTTAAGGACGAAAGCTGCAGATGTGATTCACACTAATTGCTTCATGTGAATCTCTCAATAGATCGTCATATCTGATAGTAGCAAAAATCTTGATGAATAATTACAAAGATATAATCGTGCGTGAAAGCTGGAGTTTTCTACTCGGAAGCTATTCTTGTGACGTTTCCGGAAAATATCAGAAATCTCAACGGTTTAGAGTTCGATTATCGCGAGAAGTGCATGAATAACCACGAGCGTAGTACACGCATTAACAGGATTCGAAGTTATACGCACACCTCAAAAGTTGGAGTCTGACGAATCACGGAGGTGAAATGTGGACGGATCAATTCGAAGTCGTGATCGGGTCGTCGATTGATATTGTAGTTAGTCGATTCTAGTGACTCTTGTAACACAGTCCCTAAGGTAGATGCGGGTGTAAGGTAATACTTAGATGCGGTCGACAAGGTTGGCAGGGGTGCCAACAGTAATCCTCAAAAGAATCCCTCGGAAGACTCTGAATGCAAACGATCGTTTGACGCATGCACACGTTAGCTGCGCATAAGGCTCTCGCGCTCGCCTTATACTGTCTATTCCGCACAGGCAGGGCCGCACAGGCGGACGACAACAAAAAGGTAGCTGACAATGGCCTAGCGGAGTCGATATACATATAGCGAGCAATCGATACAATGCAGCTAACAGACTGGCCAACAGGGGTGGCTTGATCCTCCTACCACAAGTTGATGCTCTCGCGCCCGCCCTATTTATGTACTGTCTACTCCGCATAGGCAGGACCGTACAGTCAGCCAACAATAAAAGGTAACGGATGGTGGCCGAACGGAGTCGATCGACATAGAGCGAACATTCGATACATTGCAGCTTACATATTGGCCAACAGCTGGGGACAGATCCACCAATCACAGACATGAGGAGCGTGACGTGAGATCAATGTGCATGCGTGCACTCATTTTAAATGAAACGGTGAAACGGCTGATTGAGCCGAGGTGTTTGAAGCCTTCAGTTTGCAGTATAAACTTCTAGCAAGAGCATCACATGAGTACTCGCAATCTCCCCGTCAACCTTGCCCTTCTCGTGATGGCGACTCTAGGAGAGGTGAGTACGAGTAGTGGTTAACAGTTGTGTTATGAACATATTCCCTGCCCTCTCTTCAGGTGACTGTGGGACTGAACGCTACGGCTACTGCCTTTCCACTCGGCTTCTATACATGGGGTCTGGATATTTGGACCGATCCGAATAGCGACTTCCTGGTAGCCTGACTACACTACGACAATCGAAATTCTCCCTCTCAGAAATTCGTCAAGATGTCCGCGGTACAAAGACATAGTCCTCTTGGGGACGTTTGGTTCGGCGTTGGTAGCGATGGCACTCCGGGTGAAGTTCTGGGCAAAGACCAGATCCTACCTTTCCTCAAGGAGATTAGACCAACTGCGAGTGAGGCTATTGTGGTACCGAATTAACGTGACTCATCTACTTCAGAGGGAGTTCTCTATATCACGTACGGCGACTTTGGTTCCCACAACGAGCAGGCGTTGGTGAGCTCATTAGTGTTGCTGCTTTGTCAACATCGACATTCTGTTCCTTGCTCAGCTTGATTTCATCGATAACTTATTCGACTATCTGAAAGCCCAATCCCAGGCCGATCTGAAGAGCGTCGCACCGTTCGGTATATCGCTAGACATAGAGAATGAAGGGATGCAGAAAATGGTGATGAGTAGCCTGCAAAAGCTCCAGTGAGTGGATTATAGCGTCTTCTCTCGTATGAACCTCCTACTCTTTAGAGCTTATAAGAAGAAATATCTCAGCTTTTTGCCGGAAGGAGACTTCTTGATTCAACAAGTTGTAGGAGGCTACCCAGATTCAGGAACTACTGGGTGAGTGTGTCACCCTTTTGCATGTTATTCACGAGCTTTATGGATGTGGCTCAGTTTCACCATGGATAATGCGGACAGCGCTCTTTATCTAGTCTACCGTTCTTATATGACGGACAAATCGGACATGGAGCTCAATCCAGGTTTGTTGCTGCAGTATTTGATGCGATCTCTATCCCGATCCTCAGGCAACAACCTTCTCGCTCGCTTCAAATGGTTTATGGAACTGCAATGCATTCAATGTCTGAATCCAGGGTACAAGCCAAGGGCCAAGATATCTGTTCTTGTCGAAGGCGCTTGTAGGCCTGGAGTGATGGGGCTCATCTGCGCTCATTGTGTCCATTGTAGGCTACATTGGGGAGTATTGTGGACTCATCTCCTTCTGTGGACAGAACGAGTTCGGCGTTGAAAACCTGTTGAAGACTTTCGAAGAATTCGATACTCAAGCCAAAGCTGCACAGTGGATACCCAAAGGAAGGTAGGGACTACTTATTCTACATTCCCAACAATTTCGATGATCTCTAGATTCGACGAAATGATGGCTGATCCCGTATCGCGCTACGGCATCCACGATTGGTGAGGAGAGTTACATCTTCCGTGTTCAATCTGTCTATTAGGCACTGGTCTCGTTGTCTATATGATGCTGATGTCAGTGGGGCTTACCCTACTTGTGGTACTCCACTCAAATATGGAACTAGCCTATGCAAGGCGCTACACAAAACCCCTCAGACTTAATGCTGAATTATATATTTTATGGTCTTTCATGACATTGACCTTCAGTGAGATTTTCCCTCTCTGATGAGAGTATCCGTGCCATGCCAGCACCTCGTTAAGGCACACTTGGACAGTTATCTCGTATTCGTTCTCAGAGGATAATGCAGGATTCATTTTCCTCGACTTTTTTGCAGGTTTGTATGCAGGAATGACATTCGGTGCGCTATTGGTCGTCATTATAACTTTTTCTTATTGGCGGGTTCTCTGCAACCTACGAGTTGAATTAAGTCGCAAATGCTGATACAGGGTGAACAAAATAGCTACACTCCCCTCGGAATTTCTCAGCGCATGTGAATACCAATCAAACCCTGGCATCTTTTCTTCGAACTCTCAATTTCTCCAATGTTTGCGGAGGTGGCATAGGTGCCCCAAAACCAAATCAATCGTGTTGCAGGTAAATGATGGAATACCGTTTCAAATCGCTAAGTTGGAACACCAATAAACTGAAACACTCGAGAAACGGAATTTGCCAGAACTACTGCCTACACACGGCTCTCTCTATATCAATATATCTTGTTGAGTCTGAAAGGTCTGGAATTGATCCAACTACCATTGGAGAGAGCTCACCGAAATTCTCGAAATGATACCTGAGTTGGTCTGATACTCACATGCGCTGGGAAGTTACGAGGGGTACGCCCTTTTTTCGACCATCCTGTATTAGTTAGGGAGAAGTCGAAAAGTGGTAAAAACTTTTCTCCATTTTCCACAAACTCTCAGCATACACGTGTTAAAAGCATACATCAACAAGAAGAGGACCTTCCACCAAGATATGCCTCCATGTTTTAGCCCCATATTTGAAGGCACAAGCCTCCTGCTGCATGTTGAGCTCTAATAGCTCACTGAATGGCAGGTTTCACACCTTATTTCGTCGTGCTTTCGTGCTCATCAGCTATGCTCATCAGTTTTTGCTGGATGCCTAGATATGCTATGGATTTGTAGGAAGGTGTACATAAGGTTAGATGGCGCTTGGATATACACAAGATAGCCATGTGAAAATGAGAAACCTCATTCAATCGTAAACTCAGACATGAAAGCGTCGACATTGGGTGGCCGCATAACAGTATATTCTCGAGAAAATATCATCACGGATTCCACAGCATCTATACTCAGAGCTTCGATGAATGAGTAAGACGGGTCGTGGATTCAAGCTTAGCATCATTTACTCGTCGCGACGGTTTCCCCTGCGCCGTAGACAACTTCGTGAGGTGGTCGTATCTGAGATCGGCGCTCCCTATGGAAAAACGTAACTCCGAGACTGTTTCGAAACGTACGTCTGTATCAACTGGCGTGGAGGCATGAGCGTCTGTTTCACAACTGCAAGTTCGGACATCTTAGACAACCAGTCGAAGTACTTACCAAGCTGCGGATGATTGTCTCGTGACAAAGTGAAATCTGGACCTACCACCAAGCACGATAATTCCCAGTTCGACCAATACTAACGACCTTTGGAAGCACCAAGAACAGACGTAGCATAGGCAAAAGGATATAGGGCAACGTCAACGATGCAGAGGGAAGCACCGTTGTAGAAGGGACCAAGCATCTGCAGCAAAACTGGCATCCTCGAGGCGGTAAGTAGAGGAGCCTTCCTTTTCACCTCAGAACTGAAGTTTTCCAGAGCCGCAATCATGTCAGAGAATCTATCTGGCCTGTTGCGGCGGAAGCATTGGATGAAACGGTCACAGAAAGATGCGTTGTAGATCTGCGCTGCCTTCCTTAGTCGCCGCCTGACCCAGTGAATGAATGAACTCTTTGGTATAAGCAGCGTAAGATAGTATGCACTTGGTCAACTACGTGTGTCGGTAACAATAACAAAAATTTGAGGACTGAAATTCCGATTGGGTCTAAACACTTCTACCCTAATCCGTATATAACCAGTGAGGAAACCCCTGAGCGCAGCTGATGAGAGCCAACATATATTCCAACACCGAGTGTTTTGAGACTGATAACAGCTAGAAGACTCAAATTGATGAGTGGAAATGAAACCAGGCAGACCGTCTTCGCCCCCAATGGCTCGGCTCACCTTTCCTTCCTATCTTCTGGGACCAGAGGCTGTATTGGCAGCCCCATACCACGAGCGATAGTGTCCAGATACTCGATGATGTCCAAAGACTCGACAACCTGAGCCGCTAGCTTGTACAATAGCGTCATCAGCCGCCTACAATTTCTCGTCTCCCGTCGGAATGGTCAACAATCAGAGTTGGTACCAGACCCTTAGGATTGGTCTCGAGGAGTAGAAGGTGCTTGGTGTACCCGTCCGGCCCTGGACTGAGGCACTCTATGTGCTCATATGGGAGCTGAATGATGATACAATAGTAGTTCGGGCCCAACTGAGTGTACTTTACCTTGTACCACTCTAGGGCTATACGGGCCCGCTGGGCATAGGGACAGAAGAATGCCGTGAGGAAGCGGAGTTGTGGTGATTTTGGTTGCTCATCAATAGTCATTAGATTGATCGAAATATGACAGAACTTTGCGGTAAAGTGCCAGCCCGGCAATCATGGAGAAACACTCATGACAAAGTTTTTACCGAGTCCTTCGAGCTTATATACGATAAAACAGATTGATGAAAGACCGTCGGCGTATATTATCATTCATGTATACTTCCCCTATCACCCTTCAATACTTTGAGTGTGACTTTAGATCGTGCATTTGACCGTCTAACTGCTTGAAGAGAAGCAAAGCTCTGATTTTCCCCAAAAAAATTCCGGGAAAATCAAAGCTTTGTTTATCACTTTTCATTTTTGCCCATTTATCTTGAGCCAACTTAAAAACCTTTCCGAATGAACAACAATGCCACATTCGAGGAAATATTCCAAACAGAGCAATTGATACAAAATTCCGACAAGCTCAATTCCTGAAGGAAATCTTGTTCTTCCTTTGACCGTGTCCATTGAATCGATAAAAGTTGAATCGCGCTTAGTTGCGCAACACTGGTGGGTGGTTCCCAACAGGATTGGGTGTCAACATACACCTATACACCTAAACACCTATACACAGCGTTAAGAACTCATTACTTCATTCGTGAGGTGAACTCCAAGACAACTCGAAGTGATTAGAAGATGACTCAATCCCTGATACAAACACACAATCAGCTACGCCTGATGGAATTTATACAAATCGGCGAGGTATGCCACGGCTGACCGTAAGCGGGACTGAGGTGAGATTCAATGCACCAAGACTTTGACCTCGCAATCATGTCACCTAGTGTGTCACTCACTCTTCCTAGGCATGAGGATCGATAGATATCGCCCTTTATATTGCCGAGCCTGTTGTTGTATCTATCTAGTTAAATAGGACAATAAGCAGGAAGAGCACATCTGGGCACCAGTCGGAGGTGGTATCTGAGCAATCCCATATAATTCAACAGTTCGTCTCGTTATCGGACTCACTGGCCTTCTGAGAGTGCATCGCTCCGCTCGCAAACAAGACGATAAACGCAACCACGTTGAACCACCCGATCACATAAGTGACGCCCTGGGTAGAAATTAATAGAAGGAAGACCACAAAAAGTGCAACACCTGCACGAGTGACGCCAAACCGGAAGAACTTGAGTTCTGCATGCTCTTTACAGGGCAACTCTAGCATACCCCACTGCGCACAGTCGTGGCTCGATAATGATATAAATTGTACCGTATCAGAGGCGTAGTACCTACATTAGGAAACAACAAAGCAGACAGTGTTTGTCAGCAGGCCCAGGAAAAAACCCTTGAAAGTTCCCCACGGAGTAGCTGAGCGATATGGACAGCGGTAGTGAACTAATGTGATGTTCACACGAGGGAGGTCGAAGATAGTAGCCTCACGTGTAGCACTTAACATCCAAGTCGGTATCATTGATAATCATAAACGGGAGGCATCCGTCTTCATTTTTCCGGTACCTAGATGTAATCGTGACGACGTATACACAAATACTTGCAGTACTGTCGCATGAGAATCCACACTGCAGGGGCGACTACCACCCCGACCCCAAATCCAACCCAAGAGGCGTACCTGACCGACGTTCTCTCCTCTATGTCAACACATGGAAACTCAATTTCTTAACTTGCGCGCAACGATGTACCACATTATGTACGTTTATATGCGATATGATGAGTTCTTTTGCCGTTGGCATTTCAGAAAGGATTGATATAAGTTAATATCACCCTAGTGAATTCCCTATCGATGTTGTGAGAATTGTAACACCTGTGACAAACCACATTTGCTAATTACGTTGTGGGGAAAGTGCACTAATAGCGAATCGGAACTGACGATTAGGGACAGTCGACTTCTAATAGATTTTTATTTTTAGTTTATTTTTATTTTTATTTAATAGATTTTTTAGATCAATTTCTATTAGAGACGTAGAAAGTATTACTACTCACACAGCGTAACAAGCACTATATCTAGCCTATGAAGGACTCACCATCCCATCGCTGCGATCGTCGTGCCCCAGGTCGCAGCAACAGTACTAGTCGTAGTTCCCCACGGTATGAACCCCAGAAAATAATACGGCACCTACATGACGGCATAGTTGAGAAGTTATTAAAACATGGGAGTTTCACGGGCGGCCGTGGTATGAAAAACACTAGTGGAAACATATTTCACGACTACCGCATATCACCGCGAATATCGCGTTTTTCACCGAGTTTTACGCCACTTCACGTAATAAGATGAATAAGCTCCATTGTACTTACTGTAACTGAGCAGGCTCCAACACCCGCGCCGATTGCACCGCCAAGCCAGCTTAAAACCTTCGTAGATGCTGACAGAGTCAATGCGACGTCTTTAAGCGCCTCTGAGACGACTCGTGATAACGACAAGCGGAATTCTCGCGAAGGGAAAACTCACGCAAGAAAGCGCCTGTAGACATAGGCTTTCCATTTTCACAGTAATACGCCCAGTGGAGATCCGTATCTGCTCAGAGTGCTAAATGGCTTGCTGCAATACAACGGACTTTTAAGCGTTTAACTGCATGTGAATTCTAAGACGTATGCATTTCCGCGACCGATAATACAATCCTTTTCCGTGAAGTTAATTGTGACATGTGTTTTCCACTAGTGCTAGTCGTATCACGGTCCGTGAAACTCCTATGAAACTCACCAAAGCCGCGCATAGAAGCATCGGGGGAGCTAACGAGACGGGCCCTATCAACAACCGCATGTACGTCGGCTGGTCGCGGTCGGCTCAGAACTCGAAAAGAAGGGCACACAAGCAACTGGGAACTACATGGGAATCTGCTGCAAGTCGGGCTCACTTACAAACTGTAACCATGTGAGGACTATACGGCATTTGGTGTTCGGATCATAACCGATCACTTCCTCATCACTGAGCCATGCACATATCGAATCGAATTGAGTCAACCTTATTACGACACGTAGATAACATGTCGGCTGTTTCTCGTTAAAGTTCTGAATGTGTCAATGTCGGACACAACTCTCTCCGACGGGGTATCCTGGGATGACTGCGAAGGTGTCTCTTCCGCATGAAGCTGTGGTAAGTAGCCCACTATGTGTGATCCTCGCCGTTCGCTCCACGCTACTATCTGAAAAATATGTCTCGTAGGAGAGGTCAATTTCAAAGCTCAGAATTGATTCAGTAACCAACTTTTCCACCACTTATCGATTTCCATTTTGAATTTGTTCTCAAAGTTTTTGTTCATCTGTCCATCCAGACTAGCACACATCTTCGATTCCCTCTTGGCAATGCATGCCTCCAATACAGGCCCGAGGTATGCGAGATCACCTTTAAAGCTTCATATTCGGCCCTAATGCGGCACTCCTCTACAGCGAGCACAGCTACAGTGAAAGCCTCGGCAACCCTTTGGGACAGGCGTTCTGTATACAGCTTAGCCTCGCTCTGAATGATGTAATGGAAGTCTCATTCGTGTTACGTCGACTCACTCTGGCAAGGTCTTCTGCTGTAAACTGTTCATTCGGTTTTGGTACTATTTGTGTGAATCGGGCTAATGCTATGTGCATTGGACAATCTTCAATACGCATGAAAGTGCAAACTGAGATCAATGGGGTGATGAATGTCATAAGGATGTGCGATTTGATATGAGTATGAATCCTGCGCATCGCTCCGCTGTTACAGCGCTATTTGTTTGGCACCTTTGTTACACTACTTCGTATTACGAAGTTCGCAACAATTCGTACTTAGCCCAGCTATCACGACCATGGTTTCCTCAAAATCGTTATCTCGTCCAGGTCTCATCCAGCTATCACAACGCAACATAATATTGGATTATTAGTAACCATTATGAACTCGAAAGAAACCTCCACCTGACAACAACAACAACAACAACAACAACAACAACAACAACAACACAGACCTCTACTTGTGTATAGTGTGCTTTTAGATCAAATGTATATGGGAGAATTGATTCAGTTGGTGTGAGAGACTGAGCACTGTCTTGCCCCACAGCCACTGAACTCTCTGCATTCGACCATTCAGTTTGAGCGTCCTTCATGGCTGTAAGGTCTGTATGCATTAATAATGCTTATATCATATCA